TGTGTGTGGACCCATTTGCTTAGTCTTGGCCTGACTCTTGCCTTACCTACATGCTGTTGCCATATCAATACAAACCAATAAGCAGATAACAAAATGATAACACTTTGCTCTTCTGAATTTTCCTAAGATTTAATGCTTCAAGAAAAAAAAGCCAAATCAGTTTTTCACCTGTTGAAACCATCCCCCAATCTCCATTCACTTCTATTGTATTAAACCTAAAGGATACTAAACCAATGATGAGCCGTCAATTAGCCCATAATGCAGTTTTTTCCATGCTGGGTCCATCTGCTTAATTGTTGGTATTTGTGGTTTTCCATTCAGCAGCTCAAATGTGAATGTTTTAGAGGTCTGTCTCTTAAATTTCTTGTTGAAGGTTTCTCTCCCACCATCACCATAGTGGCGGAGAATGACTGGCTTGTCAAATCCTGCAGCTTTCAGCTTGGATAGCTGATCATTTCTGTTTGGAGAAGAGAAAAAGGAGGGGAAAAATAAACCTTTTATAACTTTCCAGTGGAATAAATCCTGTCAGTTTTACCCAGGCAAAACTGACAGTAATTTAAATGAAAGTTTGGCTAAATAAAGGCTACAAAGTTTGGTTAAATATTTTTCCAGTTTAGTAAGAGATTGTCAAAGCTATTAACTTAAGCAGGAATCCAAATCCCTTAAGCACTTTTGAAGAACCTCAGCCAATCAATACTGACATTGCTAAATGTCCACATTTGCTCATTGTACATAGGCAATGCCAGGTGTGTGCTGTCAGTAGTGGTAGAAGTTGCATGATACAGTGTGAATGGTTCTCAGAGGGAAGAGCTCCTGTTTAAAAAGGTTTGGTTATTATGTACCTACAGGAACAATGACAAAAGCAGTAGGTCTGAATTTTCACCTGGAGTATCAGAAAAATGCAACTTGTTGTTTCTGTTCTGTTCCCGTCCCCGGGATCTGCTGGTTCCTCTTGATACAGAAGACTCTCAGTCCCAGCCAGTTTAAATTCCGTCAGCATAAAATGTCAGATTCCCAGCTGAGCCCAGCCACTCCTAAAAAGCCTTTTTTGGTACTAAATTTCTTTACAACCATGACTCCTAGCACTTCTAAAAGATCTTTCAGCTGAAGATCTCAAGGAGTTTTATAATCTTTCAGTAAATAAAGCCTCACCAAATCAATATTATTTATGCCCGTTTCAGAGATGGGAAATTTAGACTGAGAGCGGTCAAACTCATTGTATGAGATCACATAACAGGCCTGTGGCTGGTCTGGAACTGAAGACCACAAAGCAGATACTCTGCTGGTATCAATTGTCACAGATCTCTTGCTAACAAGGGGGGCCCATAGTTTGAGCCAGTTGAAGATCTGTTCCCAGATCTCCAGGCTCCTACTCTTGCACTTTAACCCCTAGATCAGCTTTGAGCTTGCAGACTTTTACTGCTGCCTTTTACTTGTTTACTTCATTTTTATAAGCAACAACAATATTGAAATATAAAAAAAAATATTGACAGTAATATTTCTGTATATTTCAGTATTCTAGCTGATCATGAAAAGGAAACATAACCGGAACTGAGGGATGGCTAAATCGGAATTCTGTCTACTAGCTTTGGTTTATTCTTGCCAGCTTTTCTTGTCAGACTTATTCTTGTCAGACTTTTCACTTATAACATTTTGTATATACTTTTATATAACAGAATTTGAGCAGATATTAAAACAGCCAAGTTATTTCAAAAGCTTTACATAAAATACAGTCATTAGGAAGCAAAGTTGCTACAAAAGATGGTCACTTCTCAGTAAAGCTATAGATTAGCTAGTAGAAATCTGAGAGGCATTCCTGTCTGTTAGCCAAGATTTCTTACATTTTCAATTCTGTAAAAAATAAAAAAATTAGTACTAAGTATAACTTTGTGCTGACCAAGCTAAATATAAGCATTCAATAACAGTCTCTGGCAACTGCCCAGGATCAGGATTTCAATTCCAAACAGATGGGCCATTTTGTTCTGGAAACCTTATAGAGGAAATATGTTCAGCATCTGTGGAAGGTAATTCTTGTCCTTGCCCTAATGGAGAATACTTGTCAAACGTGGGAGACCCAGGTTCAGCATCCTTCTATAAGCTCAAAGGGATACAGATTGACATCTCCCATCAGCTCCAAACGTGATGTACTTTTAAGGTTTTTGTTGTTCATTTTTGTGCATCCAATTATTCTTGAATGCAAAGATGCACAAGGAATCTTGGGGTCAGGGTGTAAAACCCAGGTCAGCAAAGCAGCCTTTCTTCAAGTGTTTGAAAAAGCCAGGATGGGAGTGAAAAACTGTTGCCACGTGTCTCCTTTCCTGTGTGTGTTTTCTGATTTCCCTCCTCCTAGGGAAACACCTTCATCAGTGAGCTACATAGTCAGAGTCTCTTTTGCTTGCTCTCTCTCTCTAGCCCCATGCCTCATTCATTTCTTTTTGTAGTTTCCAAGGTTGAATGCAGGGGATGGAGAGTGCCCCATATAGAACAATCTAAGACCTGTTGGCTGGGACACTCTCCTAAGAGGTAGGAGATGGGGGCTTGGAGCTCCCTTCCACTGAGGAGGGCACTGGACCCAAGTCTCCCACTCCCTGGGCATTCTAAACACTAGGCTGGGCACCATTGACCTTCAAAGAAAAGAGTACCCAAAGGAATCATTTAGGCACCCAAGTTGACAAATCAGAATTTGAACTGCAAATCCCAGTCTCCAGTGCCTAACTCAGGACTGCAGTTTAGCTGCCTAAATCTAGGACAGAGATGGGATTTCAGATACATTCCTCTTCAGCATTTCCTACTGGCTGGCCTATGAATCCCATTCTCAGGTACTGAACTCTCCCCATTCTCTGTAGAGGGGACTTGAGTGCTTAACTTAGTTTTTTAATTCCACTCCTTGCTGGACCTCACCTTGCTTAAGTTCCTTTGTGCAAACCCCCCAAATTGATCCTTCCTAGCAGGAGTGGATCAAAGTGGGACACTGATGCAGTCATACCCCCCTTCTGCTGTGCCACATGCGCAGTGAGCTCTTTGAAGTCACTGACTGATCAGTGCAAGTCTTGCCAGAGCTCTGCATACAGTGAGCTCAGAAAGCTCCCTGCACCCCCAACTACTGACCCTGGACTGGCTCATGCTCTCTAGTATTCCTAATAATTATTACATACATTATTTGATCAACCCTAATAAATATACTCTTAATATTTGTTTTTATCTAAGATACAAGATAAACAATTTATAAACCTAATTTGTATATTACTATAGCCAATATACTAAATAATCAGGGGTGTGTTAAAATACAGGAGACCCTTGCCATTTGTGGGGGATATGAGAACGTATCTCCCGCAAATGGCGAAATCTGTGAATAAGGCACTGCGTTCATGAACACCATCTGTGCTCATAAATGCAGTGCCCCCAGCAACTGGGGTGGGGCACGGTGCACTGGCAATGGCAGGAACATGGCAGTGGCAAGCGCAGAGCTCCTGAGGAGCTCCTTTAAGTGCATTTAAGATGAGGGTTCGGCATTTGCTAATATTTGAAACTGTGAATGCCAAATGCACAAATAGCAAGGGTTTCCTTTATAGGGATAAATGTTTAGAAACTATGCTGTACTTACAAATCTACACAGATTAATCTTAATAGCTGCTTTTATATGTAATTGGTATTTATATTTAGTAATTGTCTTCATAACTCCTAATAAAGCCTGATCTGTTTCATAACCTAGTGCCTATAGTAGGTAGGCCCTAACTGTCCTCTGTGTCCATATGTGACAGCTGATGGGATCTTGTTGCAGCTCCCTGACTCAGGCCTAACTAGTCCTGGTATAAGTTTTAAAGCAGGAGAATAGTAGCATGAAGTCCCATATGCTAGTCGAGGATCAGACATAGCAGAAGCACACCATGCCCACATGCTCTGCATGCACAAAACCTGGAAAAGAGGCAGTGAAGCCACCCTGAGAGCACCCCACACTGTTCCTGACAGCTTTGTCTCTAGTGTGCTTTAGAATGGAAGCTCCACTGCCCCATTTCTGGGTTTAGTGCTGGGGACTGAATTGACCCAGACTGGCCCCATGGGCCTGGGATGCATACTGCATGTGGTGCCTGTTCTGGCCACTCTGGAAACCGTGCCACATGCAGCACCCACCCTGAGTATTCACCACACATGACACCTGCTCCTGCAGATTTAAGACATGCTGCACATGGCACCCACTTTGCTGCTGAAATGGGCACTACTCTAGGTGGTCTGGAAGCTGTGCCACATGTGGCACCTGTCCTGTCTGGACTTTGCCACTCAAGCCACCTCCTCTGGGACCCATGCTGCATGAAGCACAGATCTTGGAGGAGGCACTGCATCTGGCATGGAGGGGAGGGAAGGGGGAAAGGGCCCAGCAGCTGGGGGCCCGTTTGCTTGATCCAGCCTGTGCTGGCCCCATGTCACTCATCCAGCCCATAGGGCCAGATGACTCTGACATCCATGGTTTAGTGTATAAAGAATGGAAACAGGGAGACACAGGGGTTCTTTGCTACTGCTGCCCTCTCAAGAGTACTTAGTGGACCCTTAGTTTTCTGAACAATCTAGTCCTTTGGGCCTTATATCCCAGTCCTCTCTCAAACCCTGATTGAGGACAGGTGCCTGTGTAGTATTTTGCAGGAATATTTTGTAGGAACTGGGTGTGTCTACATGTGCATTTATGCCGGCTTAAATTTACCACGTTGGAACAGGCCGGCATCTACACGTGCAGGCATTAAAGCGCATTAACACTGTATGTGGGCTGACTTGGGACTAAAGTTAGTTCCAAGTCAGTCCACACAGATGCACACAATGTTACTGCGCAGTAAGGCGTTTACACAGTTACTGTGCAGTAACTAATCAAGCGTAAATTTGATACCTGCATGATATAGGTATCAAATTTATGCTCAAATTGGCATAAATTGCCATATTTACTGTGCAGCATGAGTGTGCATGTATAGATATGCACCCATACTGAGCAGTAATTTCAGTTACTGTGCAATAAATGCATATATGTAGATGCACCCAGAGAGTGCTATTCTGTATTTTGTATAGCGGTATTCATAGGTCAAGATGTTTTCTGTTGCAAAATATATTTAAACAAGCTTTTGTGACTATGATATAAAACATTTACTCAAGATTAATGACAAGATTAATCCTGGCCAACCATTAGTCCTCCAAAATGCTTCTGCTGATATTGTTGGAAGATAAAAATTAAAAGGTGCATTTTTTTTCTTTTTATGAATAGTGATGGTTTAACAGAGTTCCAAAAATCTTCAGAGAAGTAATGATCTCTATAATTATCAATTCAGATTGTTTGAATCATCTCCTATCATTTCAGTTAATAATACCATAAAGACACTGCCATACAGGTTATCCCCAACAAGAATGAAAGGAAACTGAAACCCCAGTTTGATACATTTGTTGCTGTGCTTGTCCCAGTCTCTCCACTGCCCAGACATATGGTATTTTCCATTCAAGATCTTCTGACTTTGAGTCTGAACACTGAAAAATCCAACCTTAAGAAACAAAAGGAGAGGTCAGAATTAGCTATAGCAAGAGAGTAATCTTTTAAATGTTGGTCCAAGGCATTGTCAATACAATGTAAGGCTTGTTGATACAATTATGAAGTTTCCATAGTTGTTTATTTTCTTAACCAGCTTCTTTGCTATGTACAATACAATGTTAGTAGGAGAGAAAGTGCATTCCAAGCTCCTTTGGTTAAAAAACAAAGAACAAAGGCATCTACGGAGAGAGAATTCTTCAAAGGACTAGATAATTCAGATAAGTTCCAGGTTAGATGTTTATCTGAACCGCATCTGAACTTCAAACCTGCTGAAGTTTCAGCCACTATTTATTTGCCCTACAGCCAGAGAGGCCCACTGTTGTTGCTGAGATGGGCTGGATGCAGCATACTACAGAGTCTTGATGCCAGAAAAAAAAATCACTGGAGAATTGGGACACATGTTCACCACTGACTAATTGGGGTTTTGTTGGTATAAGCAGTATGGTGCTGTGTCTTAACACTAGCTTTCCTTTTCTGGGTCCATTCCACTTGGTGAATGCACTGCCCTCTGAGTACCTTTCACACAGTTCCTAGTACATCTCCAAGGAGTATTTTGTTTCAAAAGCTTTGTGGGAGCCCAAGGGACTGTGAAAGAACAAATTCAACTCCCACAATTCCCTAAAATGGTCAGTCATTTTCATAGCATTTTCTCAAAATAAAGCAGAGAGGAATAGTTAAGGTTTGATCATTGTTTCCACTGGCATGCCCATGAAATGATTCTGAGACACTTCAAAAGATCCAGAAGAGGTAAAAGAGAGTATGCAGCTACACACAACCAGAGAAGCAAAATAGCAATTTATGGTATTCAAGCTATAAAGCTCAGTGTACTACACTCTTGAAATACCTGACTTATGCACACCTGCAAGACAAGGTCAGGCAGATGGCAGGAGACTTTTGGGTCAGGTCAACAGTAACAGAATGGGGGACCAAGTAGTTCTTGCTTATCCCTTACCCATAAAAGGAGGGAAGCTTGTAGTACTAGACTAGGGCAAATGGGACCACCATGCAACACGGAACAGGAAAAAAGATTTTTCTGATGAGAGCTGGCTACCCCAGACAGACCCTGGGCACACACTTGCTGTTGGGAAATCCATAATAAGTGATATTATGGTAGAAATGTGCAGAACAAAACTTTGAGTGTTGAAGGAATGTGTGATCAAAGTGGCAAATGATCCTGAAATCACTGAGAAATCTGAACAGTTAGGCTGTCCAGCTCTGCAGAAGCTAGAACAGTAAGTCTTAACCAGGGTGAAACCTGTTCATGGTCAAACTAGATCTGATGTTGCATCAGGGCTGTTCTCTTATGCCTACATGCCCAGGCAAAGTAAGTGATGCTAGAAAATCAAATAAGTCTAAAGTTTTTCAGAACAAGATTGAAGACTACAATCTTTTCACACCACAACATACATAGCCATGGAGGCTCTCACTGTACTGATTCTTGGCTTCCAGAGGTTGTATTTGCTGCCTCTGCAGCACTTTCACCTGTTGTCTGTCCAGGAATTTAGGCTCTATACTCTGACTGCATGTAGAATATGGGCAATAAGCCACCTGACCAACTCCAAGGAAGATGGGAAGAAGAGTTGTATAAAATATTACATTTTTAAAGAAATGCAATCAATAACCTTATGTTAAACAGTAGGGGTGTTTTTACACATGCTTTAGGGTTGTGGGGGAGCACTTTAATTAGAGAGGCTCTGAGAGACACTCTAATTAAAGCACCTGCAGTGTCTCATGTATCAGCATCCCTGCACTTCAAAATGGCAGCAGGGGTGCTTTAACTAAATCTCATTGAACGAGGTTTAGTTAAAATGCCCCCGATGCCATTTTGAAGTGCAGGGATGCTGATACAGGAGAGACAGGGGCTGATGGAGCACGCTAATTAGCACACTTGAGCAGACTTGGTTAATCAAGTTTGCTCCAATGCACTGTAATTTCAGCAAGTCAAAGCAGTGTCCCCACACATCTACAAGCACCCTAAGTTCACTCTATATCATCTTATTAGACCACACAATCTATCAACAGTTAGGTTTAATACCATGTGATAGGCATTGCAACCCAATGCATAACTGTCCTCTTTAAAGGAAAAAGATAGGTAACAGGGTAAGGGGGCCTAAACAGTTTCTAGCAGGCATGGGCTTAAAATCTTATCTTAAAACAGTGATTTGTCCTGTATTCCTCAGCTAGGTCTGAAGGCATTCCTCAGAGGACAACTGATGAACGTTACTGGCAGAAAGGAGATTGTGAGGAGGTGGATATATAAACATACAGCTATGGAGAGAATAGACCTAGGGGGCTTGTGGTCTCTCTGGCTGAAGCAGACATTGAAATTCTGTTCTGTTTTTAGGTTAAAAGAGAAAGATTTTTCTTTTGATATTTTGTTTTATAACCAACCTCACTCATATAGTTGCCTTAACTTAAGCATAAGGGAATACCGTGCCTGTCTTACCCATTGGTATTAGTTTGTCACAGACACCTAGTACCAAACATATAGAAGGGGCATGGTTTTTTCTAAAACAAAAGCAAGAAATCTGTTGACTTTGGGACTGTTAACATCTTACCTCTTTGCTCACAGTGTTTGGATGATAGTGAGAAACTGATTGTGATAGGTAACTGGGTAGCATGTTGTGCGACAGGAGCTAAAGAAAAGGAAAAAAAGCATCAAAGGGCATATAAATATGCTGAATTATGTGAACACATAAACACATACAGTTTTTCTAAAACAGATGCTCTCTGTTAAGGAGACACCTGAAGTTGCTTACAAATTGCTGAATGAGACTTGTCTAAGACCAGCAGCTCTCTGGTGATTATTACAGCATTGGTGTTTGTTGTGTAATATGCTTTGGATACAGATGATCCTTTTGGCTCCAGATAGTTATTCCTTCACTCACCTTGAGATAGAAAACTGAACACGCTTTGAAAAATGCTTTGAAATGTTGCCCAGTTTCACTGTAGTTTTCCCAAGTGTTGGTACCTCTCACTCCAGCTGCAAGGCTATTTCGTAATGCTCTAAAACAATACTTTGCAATGAATCACAACAGATGCCTACCCAGCCTGTAGTCTAGCCAAGATTATTTTTTTTCTACCTGTGCTCTAGTTTGGCTGTATTTTCATACCTACCTATTAGAATAGAACACTTTTGTACGGTGTACTTACCTTTGTTTCCTAGAGTCCTATTTGATGCAGTTTCCAGATTTTTTTCCTTTGCACCATGTAAAACGCCACTCTCATGCTGACGAACTTTTGCATTTTCAGCAGTTTCATAGCCTATGCACTCAGACCTAGGAACCATTTTGTCATATTCATCCAATGCTTGGCCTCTCCCCAGGCTTTGGCTTTCGCATGTTAGTGACTTCCGGCACCATTTGCTGTAATCAGCACCTTCAGAGAGCTCTCTCCAGCTATAGTTCAGGACATTTATAAGTCCCTGAGGGAAAATTATTTCATAACTAGCAAAGAAATGCAACATTTCTGCAAGTTCCTGTAACATGGGGAGAACTGTGTATCTATATTCATCCAACTGGCTCAGCTGTGTATCTTCATCTGCTGGAAGAACTGAAGGCATCTGAGAAATCTTTGAGTTGGGATCCTCGCTCTTGGTATTGAATAGGGAATAGGCAGATGTTTGACACACAACTGGATGTTTCACTCTTCTTTCAGTATCATCTTTTAAAAATGAATCTTCATTTCTTTCCATATAGTCTTCTCTACAATCAGTCTTCTTGCATTTGACCAAGCTGGGAAAAAAAGATGTTTCTTTAAGTAACAATGATTTACTGTAATCAGGAAAAGAAAGTATATACAGTAGAAAGATGTCTAAATCATAGACAGCATCCCCAGCCACAACCTCAGCAGACTGGCCAATAATTGAAAGGAAATGGACAATTAGCATCTTTCTCTCTTCTAGAGGTGATACTTGCAGATCCAGCTTAAGACATTGCCAGGGTGATATGCTGAAGCTTTATCCTGTGATTGCTGTACCTGTGTATCTTTATACTGACTTCATATACTTTGGATCAGGTCTTAAATTCACTTTAAATAATTATGCCATTCAATATTAAGAGCAATACTACTTTAATTTTTCATGTGCTGCCTGATCACATAAACAATTTCCCCTCTCATAAGTAAAATTAATATCATAGAATCATAGAAGTAGGGTCGGAAGGTACCTTATCGGTCTTCAAGTCCGACCCCTGCCAGGGTAGGAGAAAAAAAACGGGTCATTTGGGTGGCCCTCCTCTGGACCCTCTCAATGTTGTCCACATCCCTCCTGAAGTGGGGCGCACAGAACTGGACACAATACTCCAGCTGTGGCCTGACCAGTGTTGCATAGAGGGGGAGGATCACCTCCTTGTCCCTGCTAGAAATGCACCTGTGGATGCACGACAAGGTCCAGCTAGCCCTGCCAACCGTGACCTCGCATTGTCGGCCCATGTTCATCTTGGAGTAAATAATGACTCCAAGATCCCTTTCTCCCTCCATGCTCTCAAGAAGGGAGTTTCCCATCTTATAAGTTACTACTGCCCAAGTGCAGCACCCTGCACTTGTCAGTGTTGAAGCGCATCCTGTTTTTGCTAGCCCACCCCTGTAACCTATCCAGGTCTTGCTGCAGTCTTTCCCTCCCTACTAGTGTGCTCACCTCACCCCAAATTTTGGTATCATCAGCAAATTTAAACAGGGTGCTTTTCACGCCGTCATCCAAATTGCTGATAAAGAGATTGAACAGCGTGGGCCCAAGGACCGAGCCCTGGGGGACTCCGCTGCCCACTTCTCCCCAGGTTGAATATGACCCATCCACCACCACCCTCTGAGTGCGACCCTTCAGCCAATCTGCAATCCATCTGACTGTGTAGGCATCAATGCCTGTGTAGGTATCAAATACATTCAAGGCTTTCATAGATTTCATAGCCATAAGGGGCTGGAAGGGACCTCATGAGATCATCGAGTCCAGCCCCCCACCATAGGCAGGAAGTCAGCTGGGATCAAGTGACCCCAGCAGGTAAATAAATCCACCTGTTTTTTGAAAGAGTCCAGAGTAGGTGCCTGTACCACCTCTGTGGGGAGTTTGTTCTAGACCCTGGACACTCGCACAGTAAATAACATTTTTCTTATGTCTAGTCTAAATCAGCCTTCCTGGAGTTTATGGCCATTAGACCTTTGTAACAGGGGGCTTTCTTGGGGCCTGTCCGCCATTGGCCTGCCCACCTGTTTCTGGGCTAAATGCCTGGCTCACTTTCCTGCCATGCCTTGTTGTCTCAAAATTGGTTCTCATTGGGCGGGAGGCTGCCCATTCTTGCCCTGGTGCTTGGGGGTACTCTCTGCTGCTCTGATCCTCCCCTACACCGCAGCCCAAGCCTTGCAGATGGCATCCAGGTGACATAAATACTCCTGGCATACAGCCGGACTAAGCTTAGCCCTTGTTGTCAGGCCTCATACACACAAATGTTCATATCACCCTCCTCTCACTAGGGCCTCTCATGCTTCACCCCCCTCACAGGGTCTCTTTCATACATTGACCACTTATACCACCTTGTTCCCTCCTGGAGTGTGCTCCTTCGGTCATAGGCTTTATCTAGTGCATACCTTGGGTGGCAGATGTACCAACTTTTGGGCCTCTCCCACAACCCTCACCAGGGTAGTGGCCAGCCAGTTACCCAACTGGGGCTAAGCTTGCCTTGGCCCCTCCCGGGGCAACTCTACACAAACTCTCATGTACACATTGGGCTCCTAGCCCTCTGGTTTTCCCCTCACTGGGGCTCCACTTTCACCCCCACTGGGGCTCCATGTCTCTATCCTCTTGCTGGGGCTATGGGGCTTCCCTCCCCAATGAGGGCTCAGATGGCCATAGCCATTCCTGGCCCCAGCTACTACCCACAGTGATGTGGGGTCTAGAGGTTATTGAGGTGCCCCAACCTGCCTTCCACCGGGGTGGTAACTGGTCTGGTATTTTCCTGGAGGCTCCTGAACCACTGGGAGTCCCACCAGGCCAGCCACTCCCAGCAGGATGCAGTTTTAGGTCATCCCCAGGACCAGGAGCCTCCTGCTCCTACCTGCAGATATTCTCATACAGCAACTTAGCCAGGCAAGGTTTCTGCCTGCCTGCCAGCAACAATCTACTCTGTTTATATAGGCAGCCAGTGTCTCAAAATGGCTGCCGCAATCAAGCACCTGCTGGCTGTTTGGCTCAGCCCTTAAAATGGCAGGCACCAACGGT